TTTTAGCTGCGCCACTCAAGTTTTTATGTTATATTTTCATTCATTTCAAAGTAATTTGTTATGTCAGTTGACACTTCCTTTGACCAATGAATCACTTAGTGGTGTGGTGTTTAGTTTCCAAGTGTTCGGATAATTTCCTGTTACCTTTCTGCTTTTGATTTCTAGTTCGATTTCATTGTGCTCAGAGAACAGGCTGTGTAATTTAAATTCTTTTGAACTTCCTGAGGTTTGTTTTATGGCCCAGCATATGGTCTATCTTGTTATATGTTCAGTGTGCCTTCTGATGTGCATTAGATTGTATATGGTCTGCCTTGGTGTGTGTTCAGTGTGCATTCTGATGTGTATTAGAATGTTTATGTTCTATCTTGTCATGTGTTCAGTGTGCATTCTGATGTATATTAGAATGTTTATGTTCTATCTTGTCATGTGTTCAGTGTGCATTCTGATGTGTATTAGAATGTGTATAATCTATCTTGGTGTGTGTTCAGTGTGCATTCTGATGTGTATTAGAATGTTTATGGTCTATCTTGGTATATGTTCAGTGTGCATTCTGATATGTATTAGAATGTATATGGCCTGTCTTGGCATGTGTTCAGTGTGCATTCTGATGTGTATTAGAATGTATATGGTCTGTCTTGGTATATGTTCAGTGTGCATTCTGATATGTATTAGAATGTATATGGTCTATCTTGGTATATGTTCAGTGTGCATTCTGATGTGCATTAGAATGTACATGGTCTGTCTTGGCGTGTGTTCAGTGTGCATTCTGATATGCATTAGAATGTATATGGTCTATCTTGGTATATGTTCAGTGTGCATTCTGATGTGTATTAGAATGTTTATGGTCTATCTTGGCATGTGTTCAGTGTGCATTCTGATGTGCATTAGAATGTATATGGTCTGTCTTGGTGTGTGTTCAGTGTGCATTCTGATGTGCATTAGAATGTTTATGGTCTGTCTTGGTATATGTTCAGTGTGCATTCTGATGTGTATTAGAATGTATATTCTGCTATTGTGTCAGCTGTTCTACAAATGTCAGTTAGGTCCTCTTGGTTGATGGTGTTGTTGAGTTTCTCTACAGCCTTGCTGATTTTGGTCTACTTGTTCTATCAATTGTTTAGTGATGAGTGTTGGAATCTCCAACTGTAACTGTGGATTTGTCCATTTCTACTATCAGTTCTATCAGTTTTTGCATCACATATTTTGCAGATCTGTTGTCCGGCACATACACAGTTAGTATGTTAATACTTCCTGGTGGACTGACCCTTTGATCATTATGTAATCTCCCTCTCTGTCTATAGCAATTTTCTTTGCTCTGAAGTCCACTTTAGCTTCATATTAATAGAACCATTTTTGCTTTCCTTTTTTTGTTTTTGAGACAGAGTCTTGCTCTGTTGCCCAGGCTGAAGTACAAATGGTGTGATCTCTGCTCACTGCAACCTCTGCCTCTAGGGTTCAAGCAATTCTCCTGCCTCAGCCTCTTGAGTAGCTGGGATTACAGGCACTGACAACCACACCCAGCTGATTTTTATGTTTTTCTTAGAGACAAGGGTTTCACCATGTTGGCCAGGTTGGTCTCGAACTCTTGACCTCAAGTGATCCACCCTCCTCGGCCTTCCAAAGTTCTGGGATTACAGATGTGAGCCATCATGCTCAACCTCTGCTTTCCTTTTATTAATGCTTACATGCTATATCCTTTTCTATCCTTTTTTTTTCAATCTGCATATATATATATTTTAGAGACAAGATCTTGCTCTGTTACTCAGGCTGGAGTGTAGTGGTGTGATCATGCCTCACTGTGGCCTCAGCCCCAAACTCCTGGGCTCAAGTGATCCTCCCACCTCAGCCTCTCAAGTAGCTAGGACTACAGGTGCATGACACCATTTCCACTATTTGTTTTTTTAGAGATGAGGGTCTTGTTTTGTTGCCCAGGCTAGTCTTGAGCTCCTAGCCTCAAGCAATCCTCCCATCCAGACTACCAAGTAGCTGGGATTATAAGTACAAGCCAACACATCTCACTCAGGTGGGTCATATTTTTAAATCCGATCTGCCAATCCGTCTTTTAATTGATGTATTTTGGCTACTAGCATTTAATGTAATTACTGATATGCCACAACTTAAGCCTGCCATTTTATTTCTTGTTTTGTTTGTTCTGCTTTCTGTTACTCTGTTTACTTTCTCTGTTTTCTGGGTTAATTGAACATTTTTTCATTTTGATTTATCTGTAGTGTTTTGTTTTGAGATGGAGTCTTACTCTGTTGGTCAGGCTGGCGTGCAGTAGTGCCATCTCCACTCATCACAACCTCTGCCCTCTGGTTTCAAATGATTCTTGTGCCTCAGCCTCGCGAGTAGCTGGGATTACGGGCGTCTGCCACCATGCCCGGCTAATTTTTGTATTTTTAGTAGAGACAGGGTTTCACAGTGTTGGCTAGGCTGGTCTCAAACTCCTGACCTCAAGAGATCCACATGCCTCAGCCTCCCAAAGTGCTGGAATTATAGGCGTGAGCCACCCCACCTAGTCTATCTATAGTGTTTTGAATGTATTTACTTGTCAAGCATTTTTTAGTGGTTGCTCTAAGTAATCCATTGTGTATACATAACCTATTGCAGTCAACTTATATCCTTTTTTAAACCTTTGAGTGAAGTATAGAACCCTTTCCCCCCTTAACACCCCTTTATTTTCCCCTGTTTATAGTATAATTGTCTTCAATATTTCTTCTGCATACATTGAGAACCACATCAGACAGTGTTATAAGTTTTGCTTCAAACATCAAATGCAATTTGGAAAACTCTTGAGGAGAAATCAAGCCTATTGTATTTACAAATATTTTTGCTTACCATGTACTCTCTTCTTTGCTTCATGGTGTTCCATGCTCCTTGTATCATTTCCTTTCTGTTTAGATAATTTCCTTTAAGCATTCTTTTAGGGAAGTTATCCTGATGACAATTAACTTAGTTTTTCTTCATCTGAGAATAATGTGATTTTCCCTTAATTCTCACAGGATATTTTTGCTGGGTATAGGACTCTGGGTTGACAGTTATTTTCTTTCAGCACTTGAAAAATATTTTTGTCACTTTCTTTTGGAATACATGATTTCTAATGTCTAATCTATTTCAATTTTAATTGTTTCTGCCATGTTTTTCTTGGCTGATTTCAATATTTTTTCTTTGTATTTAGTTTTCAGAAATTTGATTATGATGTGTCTTGGTGTGGATTTCTTTGGGTTTGTTATGTTTGGGGGTTTGCTCAATCTCTTGAAACTGTACATTTATATCTCTTGGCAAGTTTGGGAACTTTTCAACTATATCTCTGTGAGAATACTTTTTTAGTTATGTCTTTTTGCTTTTCTTGTTTTGGAAGTCTGATGACATAAATGTTAGATCTTTTGTCATAGACCCATGCATTCTTGAGTCTCTCCAGGTAGCCTCCACTGATATCATGGTGAGGGTGGCCTCATAATCCTTGGATAATGGTGAAAATCTTGAGTCTCTTCTAGGCTTCCTCTGATACCATTCCAGAGGGGAGGGGAGAGGCTCCTCTTTATTGCCATGGGGAGGAAGAAGTCCAGGCTCCTCTCATGGCCTGTACAAATGAATTATTCATTGTAAGGATGTCAGCCTCATTTCTAAATACCAGGCAGAGAATTGAAGAGATGGTGAGCACCAGCAACCCTGGAGTATAGCTGTTGAAAATGGTCCTTGCACAGACCAATGAATCTTTGCTCACTGCTGTGTCAATGACCCTGCTGGTGTTAAAACCTGGCCTTCTCTTAGATGCCCAAGTCTTTAATCCTTTGGTTTTCACTGACAGCTTAGATATCATTCCCATGGCTACTGGATATCTGGGTCTGGCAGGCCTTATTGAAAGATTTATAGAATATTCCCATTTTGTGTTATGATTTAAAATACTTCAAAATAAATATGATTGAATGTATACAATTAAGCACTTGGGCAACTGTGTCTGTAGAACAAATACCTAGAAGACTTGTTAGGTTGAATGTTTGCTTCAGGCCCGGCATGGTGGCTCACACCTATAATCCCAGCACTTTGGGAGGCTGAGGTGGGAGGATCATTTGAGGTCAGGAGTTTGAGACCAGCCTGGCCAACATGGTGAAATCACATCTCCACTAAAAATACAGAAATTAGCTGGGTGGGGTGGCATATGCCTGTACTTCCAGCTACTCAGGAGGCTGAGGCAGAACCACTTGAACCTAAAAGGTGGAGGTTGCAGTTAGCGCCAAGATCATGCCACTGCACTCCAGCCTGGGTAACAGAGAGAGACTCTGTCTCAAAAACAACAGCAACAACAACAAAAAAGGTATGCTTCACACGCCATTCTTAGGAGATAAGCCCCAGTATATTAATTTTTTCTATATAGTTAGGGTTGTTCTTTGTCCCTCTGAAGCCCTTAGCATCTGAAAATGTATTTTCTTTTGTTTAATTATCTCAAGATTGTTTGTACAATTTTGCAATTTGGTTTCACCTGGACATATTTTTGGTAGGGGCCTAGCTACTTCTTTGATGTACAAGCCTAGCTCACTTTATCCTGACCTTTAGGTCTTGTAATATTGGATTACTTGAGTTTACTTTTTAAAACTATATCTTTGACTTATAGAGCTCAAATGCAATCTGGATTTGTTTCATCTTCTTCCTTTTTAACAAATTATTTCCTTTGGAGAATCCATAGGGATTATTGGCCAAATGTGGGTTTCTCAGAATAGTGTTTGTGAAATCTTTTCAGTCTGGTATGTGCCTATAACCTTGCTAAGATAGATTATGACTGAAGGCCAGTGATGCATTCATAATAAAAAGCTCCATGAGCTTTTTTTTTTTTTTTTTGAGGAAATGGATTGTGACACTGGAAATATTTACAAACTATGTTTTAAAATATTTAAATAAAAATAGACTTCCAGTTTAACCTGGCAGATTCAATACACCCTTATATCCGAGCTTCATTGCCGCCCTCTCCTCCCTGTCCAAAATTACAATGAAGGACTAAAAAGGCATAAACTCATAAGGACAGAGAGAATTAGAGGGAGAGAAGAGTAGAGAAGATGGAAAGTGGTTTGAAGAATGGTAACTCACTTAGCAGAGGAGGCTGAAACCCAAGCGTCTAAGTAAGGAAAGATTAATGAGAAACAAAAGATTTGTTAACAGAACACCTGAAACCTTCTGACATTGAAGACAGCAGTACAGTGGAAGGGGCAAAAGAGGACAAGGTCTTGGAGATGAAGACAGAGAGAGTGACAGTTTGTCAAAGGATCCTTTAGACCTCTAATCCACACCACTAGAGTATGACCTTTCTCTAACCCCTGTAGAACACGGAGTTCCTTCTCTGGAGAAACTGACCAGTCTTTGGCTCAGGGGATTCCCACCAACCTCCCTGCTCCCACTACGGCACTGGTATTACTGCTTGGGCCCTGGTCTTCAACTTCAAGACTAGAGTGGAAAATCAACGGAAAAACTCAGTAAGTCCAGAGAAAAAACTCACATATAATGACATTGGTTGTGAGGGTCTGTCCCACAAAAGAGCTGGCTCAGCACCTGATCACTCTGCACGCTGCCAGGGGACAATTCTAATTAAATCACACAGATCCTCCGAAAAACTTCTTGGTGTCTCATATTTATGTATAAATCAACAGCCCAGATAATCAGACTTTTGAGGGACGCTACCCAAATAGATGACAGAGGCCAGAATGTCTGTGTGTGGGGAGACCTACCAATTTTGAACAAAAAGAAAATATTATGAGGAAGAGGCAAAAAGCAAAATGGACTTAAAGAAAAGTCACAACTATCTTTAGAGAGATGAGAAGATCTTACAGCTATGAAATAAGATGGGAAGGTATTAACACAGCACAACAAAAAGAAAGTATCAGAAGAAAGCACTCTTAGAAGTTAAAACAATTAGAGCAGAAACAAAAAAAGTCAACAGAAAGTTTAGAAGACAAAATTGAGGCATTCTTACATAAAGAAGAAAAATAAAACCTTGAAAGTAGAACACTGGCCGAGTGTGGTCGCTCACACCTGTAATCCCAGCACTTTGGGAGGCCAACGCAGGTGGATCACCTGAGGTCAGGAGTTCAAGACCAGCCTGACCAACATGGTGAAACCTGTCTTTACTAAAAATACAAAAACAATTAGCTGGGTGGTGGTGGGTGCCTGTAATCCCAGCTACTCGGGAGGCTGAGGCAGGAGAATTGTTTGAACCCAGGAATCGGACGTTACAGTGAGCTGAGATTACACCATTGCACTCCAGCCTGCGTGACGGTGTGAGAAAAAAAAAAAAGCAAAAGAAAATATGACACTGGATTGTCTCATTCCTTCTTTAAACCCTCCTTTCTCTTGTCTCCCTGTACTGTTCATGGTGGGATACCAAAACCTCCTTTCTTAGACTTTCCTGTAATTAGATTTGCCTTTTGATACATTTCTGGTCAAGGAGTCATAAGGTTAAGTTTGTAGAATATTTCTCCTGACACAAATACAACCCTTTCTGCTTCATTCTGCTTCTTCTGCAGTTCTACCTTGAATGTGGATGAGATGGATGGAGCTGCAGCAATTATCTTGTAGTCATGGGTAAGAGATCAAGAGAGTTCTAGAGATCTTTGCCCTGACATTCTTGAGCCTCTGAAATAACACTGGTCCAATGACTTTTTGACTTGTGTGAAAAAAAAAAAATCCCTAATTTTTTTGATCTACTGTTTAATTAGATATTCTTTTGATCCTAGTTGAATCATATTATAGACAATAAAGGTGAAAAAACCAGAGTTGTTTAGTATTTAACTATTAGAAGTTTCAGAAAGAGAAAACAGATGATGGGTAGAAGGAAATTATCAAAGGAATAAGAGAAGAAAATATTACGGAACTGAGCTTTCATGTCTTGAAATGACACAGTACCCTGAGTATCTTCATTTGACCCTGCTGCTATAGCAAAAACCAGAGACTGGATAATTCGTAAGCAATTGAAATTTACCTTTTACAAACTGGAGGCTGGGAAGTTCTGGGTCACAGTGTCAGCAGATGTGGTGTCTAGTGAAGGTCTGTCCCAAAGATGGTATTTTATTTTCTTTCTTTTTTTTTTTGAGACAGAGTCTTGCTCTGTTGCCAGGCTGGAGTGCAGGGGTGCAATCTCGGCTCACTGCAACCTCTGCCTTCTGGATTCAAGTGATTTTCCTGCCTCAGCCTCCCAAGTAGCTGGGACTACGGGCCACGCCACCACGCCCAGCTAATTTTTGCATTTTTAGTAGAGATGGGGTTTCACTATGTTGACCAGGATGGTCTCGATCTCCTGACCTCATGATCCCAAAGTGTTGGGATAACAGGCCTGAGCCACTGAGCCTGACCACAGATGGTATTTTCTCTGGTGTTCTCACATGGTAGCAAATGTGGAAGAGCAGAAAGGATAAACACTGCGCCCTCACGTGGCAGAAGAGATGAAAGGGCAATGGGCCTAGCTAGTTCCTTCCAGCCCTTTTTATAAAGGCATTATTCCCATTCACATGAGGGCAGCGGCCTCATGACCTAATCACCTCCCAAATGCCCCACCTTCTAATACCATTCCTTTGGGGTTTAAGTTTCAACATATGAATTTTGGAAGGCACATACATTCAAATCATGGCACCAGGTCACTAAAAACCACCAGGAAGTAGAATGGAAGTACTTCACAGTTTGCTTTCAGATAAATGTCAGAAAACTGGCTTTACAACAATAAAATAAGCTATGGTAAAAAGAATTAACACCGCCTAGATATTCAAAAGGTTTATCAATAACTACTAACCCCAAATGCTATGTTTAAGAAGATGGGAACTTGGAGAACCAGAGTAGATCCAGGATATTCATTCAACAAAATATGTTTAGTTTGGATTACTGGTTCATACCTGGAAATTGCTATAATTTCTTTTTGTTTGTTTTTTGCGTGTTCTCTGTGAACCTAAAAATCACTATGATTTTGTTATATTACTTTGAAAGATTATGTGCTCTGGAATGACACAGACCTGGTCTGGTCTCAGCTGTAAGGTGCAGACAATTCCTTTAACTTCTCTGCACCTATTTCCTCACCTGCATGGCTATTTTAGAGGTTATTGTCACGACTCACTGTGATTCTGTATTTAAAACTTCTGCACTGATCATCAGAGAAATGCGTATTAAACCACAATGAGATATCACCTCATACCTCTTGGAATGCTATTATCAAAAAGATGAAAGATAACAAATGCTAGCGAGGATGTGGAGAGCCGGGAAGCCTGGCGCACTGCTGGTGGGAATGTAAATTAGCACAGCCATTGCGGAAAACAGTATGAGGTTCCTCAAAAAATTAAATATAGTACTACCATATGATCTAGCAATCCCACTCCTGGGTATATATATCCAAAGGAAATAAAATCGGTATGTTGAAAGCTATCTGTACTGCCATGTTCATTGCAGCACTATTCACAATAGCCAAGATTTGAAACCAACGAAGTGTTCACCAGTGGATGGATGGATAAAGAAAATGGGGTTGGATAAAGAAAATGTGGATTTAAAAAATACACCATGGAATACTATTCAGTCTTTTTAAAAGGAGGGCATCCTGTTGCTTGTGACACAGATGAACCTGAAGGATATCATGCTCCATGAAATAAGTCAGGCACAGAAAGACAAATACTGCATGATCTCACTTACATGTGGAATCTTAAAAAGTTGAACTCATAGAAGTAGAGAGTAGAATAGGGGTTACCAGGGCTTTCGGGCTTGTTGGGGGGCAGCTGGGGAGATGGTCAAAGAATATAAAATTTCAGCTAGACAAGAGGAATATGTGTTCAAGAGATCTATTATACAACATTATAACTATAGTTAATAACATACTATATTTTTAAAAATTGCTAAGAGAGTAGATTTTAAGTTACCCCCAAAATGATAACTTTGTGAGCACATGGATATGTAAATAGCTTTATTTTATTTAATTTTTTTGAGACAGAGTTTTGCTCTTGTTGCCTAGGCTGGAGTGCAATGGCACGATCTCGGCTGACTGCAACCTCCTCCTCCCAGGTTCAAGTGATTCTCTTGCCTTAGCCTCCTGAGTAGCTGGGATTACAGGCATGTGCCACCATGCCTGACTAATTTTGTATTATTGTAGAGATGGGGTTTCCCCATGTTGGTCAGGCTAGTCCTGAACTCCTGACCTCAGGTGATCCGCCCGCCTTGACCTCCCAAAGTGCTGGGATCACAGGTGTGAGCCACTGCACCCAGCCTGTAATTAGTTTTATGTAACAATGTATAGGTATTCCAAAACCTGTTGTCCATGACAAATATACATAATAAAACCAAAAAGATCCTGGCACGGAGCTGGCATTTCTGAAGTGTTAATTCCTTATAATGCTATTTCTCAAATTGAGATTCTACCTGCATGTACATACCACAGTCTTCCATCTTTACTCTGTTGTAGTTCATGAGAGCTAGAGTTACCCTCAAGATTTTCTAGTTTGTTGGTTCCCAAACTGGGATTCCCCAGCTCTCAGGGCCTGAGAAAATTGTAAGCAGGGTCTGTGGGTCAGTTTCAACATGCTGAAATCCTAACAAAAATCATTCATAGGTAGGGGACCAGGTTAAGAAGGGATCAAGTGTCTTCATTTTTCTGTGTGATGTGGACTTATTGTGGTAACTCTGGTTGCATTATGATCATCAGAAGGCCTGCCTGACATTTATACATCTGATTTCTGAAGACGAAAAGCTTATTAGTTCCTATTTTAGAGATCCATTTTGGTAGGCAACATCTTTCAAAAACATGGAATTAATGGGAAAAAGTAGCAAAGAAGTTCACGAGTCTAGGGCACTGAGATCCACAAAGTTTAAGTAACTTTCCAAGGTCACGCAGCAGGTGGGTAGCAGTGCCAGGACCAGGACTGATTTCTCTTGACGCCTCAGAGCCTGCGTGTTCCATTACTTGCTGTGCCGTCTAGACCACCTTCTTTTCCACCTGGGTCCTTCATGTCCAAGGTGAGATTAAATATCACCTTGGAAACTGGCTTTTAGCTAGGATGTTGTAGTGTCGAGAGCAAAGGAAGTCTCCTCTACACTAGGACCCCAGGAATCTTGGTAAGGGAGAAGGTATTTCTGACCATTTGTTATGATCTGTAAGTTCAGCCAGGAATTTTTCTTTAGCTTTCTTTCTCAATTAGGTAAATGCGTGCTTTAGAAGATTTTAAATGCTTGGTTTCTTAAGAGAAAAAGAAAACTCTGCTGCTTGTTCATATTATTTGTGTTTTTCTCCATGCAAAGACAGGAGGTTTTCAGCCAAGGCAAATCCGAGTGGCTGACATTCCCACGGGAAAGTGGGCGGGGCATGAGAACAGGATGTGTACCTGTCTGGAAGCTGGAGCCTTTGATGAACTTCCACAAGAGCCCCGGAAGGAAGGTGTTTTGATAAGCTGTGGTCACCAGGTGGCGCTACGTACACGCTGTCAAGTCCAGCACTTTTTCAGACCTGCAGGATTTTTCCAGATTTACTGAAGCAGGAAAAAAACAAGAAAAACAAAACGGGTCTAGTACTTCAGCTCAGAATAGTTGAGTTGGAAGGAAGTGGAACCACCCCCCGCCCCCCGACAGCTTGCCCTCTTCAATCGTGTGGCAGAGAATCCACTTGGTGCTCTTTGGATTCATTGAGTAAGTGTGGAGCTGGCTGGCTTCTCATCGGAGTGTGGAATCAGGACGTGGCTGGTTCCGGCTGCAAGAAAGTCCTGGCTGTTCTGCGAGGGCAGAGGAGCTCCAGCGTCAGGGCTCCAGCAGAGGCGATCACTAGGGCGGCACCAGGCCTTTACTTCGGACTAGTCTGACCTTAAGGGGAAAGGCAATTTCCCTTTCTATATGGGAATTCATTTCCTTTGTTGCTTTCCTTTTTATTTTCTTCCCAGGGACCGTTGATTCTGGCCAGGTTGGGACCTGGGAGGAGGGGATGGATGAGGTGGGAACCAGCAGTGCCCTTTCTTCCTTCTATCGCTCTGCTCCCAGGTAACACCCTCCAGCACCCAAACCTACCCCCGTCCTCCAAAGGAAAAATGCACATGATTCCATGTCTGTCCACGTGCTGAATTTCCTGGCCAGTTCTGATTTGAAATATCTTGAAAGTTTGCTTTCCAGGGGCCACTTTGTATTAAAAGGATTAAAAAATAAATGAATTCCCATATCTCCAATCTGGAAGTCTTGGTACCATAAAAAAGAACTGAGCTATCAGCCCTGTGGTACCTTCGAGTCTAGCCTAAAGGCCACTGTCTGGTGGTTATCAACGTGCTGGCCAATGTGGAGGCACCAGGCCAGCTCCCATGGGATCTCTGTTGATGAAGCAATGACTCCAGCAGATACTAGCAGCACCTGCACAGCCAGAGCCACACCCAGGCACTTGCTTTGCTGCAGTTTGGGAGGGATCAGTGCTCCAGAGCAGTGGCTTCCAAACCTTAGTATGCCTCAGTTGCTGGGCTCCACTCCCAGAGTTTCTGGGTGAGTGGGTCCTGGGTGCAGCTGGGAAATTTGCATTTTTAACAATTTCCCCCTGAGGCTGATGCTACAGTCTGGGGACCACACTTTGAGAACTACTATTTTCAGAGCAAAATGCTGGGGGGCGGTGTGGGGGGAAGGAGCAGCAGGAAACAGCTGAAGGCTGTGGCGTGCCAGGTGTGCATGCCAGGATTGCAGGGTCACCAGCAGGGCCGGTCCTCCAGGGCTACTGGAAATCCTTATCCCTCCTCTAGAGACTAGTAGTTCTGAAACCTGGCAGCACATTGTAATCACTTTGGGAGCTTAAAAAAAATTACTGATGACTGGCTCCTAGCCCGAGACGTCCTGATTTAATTGGTTCAGAATGTGGTTTGGGCCCTGGAAGCTTTAAAAGCTCCTTAGGTGTTTCTGATGAGTAGCCCAGGTTGAAAAATCATGGTACTAGGTCCACCTCTTACCATATTCTTATATCTAGTCCCCAGTGAGTGTAAGTTCTCATCACCCATTCTCAAACCCTTCCAGCTGTCTCTCATGCCTCCCTGCCTTAGGCTGAAAAACACTTGCACCTGTCTCTGAGTACTGACCTCCTATTTATCCTTCAAGAACCAGGTAAATATTTCTTCCATGGTGAAGACGTTTCTGGCTTTCCTAACAGTTCATCTCCTAAAGCACTTTAGATGCACTAGAATTGTAACCTTCATCTTTCACTTCATTGTGATTACTGTCACGTGCTGAATAAGGATGTATCAGTGGAAAACCGACTGTGTATGAAGGTGGTCCCATAAGATTATAATGGGGCTGAAAAATTCCTATCATCTAGTGACACTGCAGCCATTGTAATGTTGTAGCTCAATTACTTTATTTTAAAAATAAACTTAGCGGGCTGGGGGCGGTGGCTCACGTAATCCCAGCACTTTGGGAGACCGAGGTGGGGAGATCACCTGAGGTCGGGAGTTCAAGACCCAAACCAGCACCCAAACCTACCCCCGTCCTCCAAAGGAAAAATGCACATGATTCCATGTCTGTCCACGTGCTGAATTTCCTGGCCAGTTCTGATTTGAAATATCTTGAAAGTTTGCTTTCCAGGGACCACTTTGTATTAAAAGGATTTCCCCTGGCCAACATGGCGAAACCGCCTCTCTACTAAAAATACAAAAATTAGCCGGGCGGGCGTGGTGGCACGTGTCTGTAATCCCAGCTACTTAAGAGGCTGAGGCAGAAGAATTGCTTGAACCTGGGAGGCGGAGGCTGCAGTGAGCCGAGATCGCGTCATTGCGCTCCACCCTGGGCAACAAGAGCGAAACTCCATCTCAGAAAAAAAAAACAAACAAAAAAACAAAAATGTAGCCTAAGTATACTGTGTTTATGAAGTTGACAGTCATATCCTCGGCCTTCACATTCACTCACCACTCACGGACTCACTGAGAGCAACCTCCAGTCCTGCAGCAGCCGTTTTGGTAAGTGCCCTATTCGGATGAACCATTTTTAATCTTTTTTACTGTATTTGTACTGTACCTTTTTCACGTTTAGATTTATTTAGATACACAACTACTTACCATCGTGTTACAAGTGCCTGTGATATTCAGTACGGTTACTTGCTGTACAGGTTTGCAGCCCAGGAGCAACAGACTTTACCCTGTAGCCTGTTTGTGTTGGAGGGTGTAGGCTGTACCATCCAGGTTTCTGTGAGTGCACTCCATGATGCCCACACAGCAAAACTGCCTAACGATGCATTTCTCAGAATGTAACCCTGTCGTAAAGCCCTGAATATGTCGGTGTTCCTATCTTCCCTCCCTACTTGATGGTTAGTAAAATTTCAGGATTGAATGTATCTCATAGTTGGAGATAATGTTAAAAATGCGCAGGTTCTGTTTTTTATTTGTTTTTTGGAGACAGGGTCTCGCTTTGTAGCCCAGGCTGGAGTGCAGTGGTGCAGTCATGGCTCACTGCAGCCTTGACCTCCCAGACTCAAGCCTCCTTAGTAGCTGAGACCACAGGTGTGCGCCACCACGCCTGGCTAATTTTTCTTTTTTTTTTTTTTTTGAGACGGAGTTTCACTCTTGTTACCCAGGCTGGAGTGCAATGGCGCGATCTCGGCTCACCGCAACCTCCGCCTCCTGGGTTCAGGCAATTCTCCTGCCTCAGCCTCCTGAGTAGCTGGATTACAGGCACGCACCACCATGCCCAGCTAATGTTTTGTATTTTTAGTAGAGACAGGGTTTCACCATGTTGACCAGGATGGTCTCGATCTCCTGACCTCGTGATCCACCCGCCTCGGCCTCCCAAAGTGCTGGGATTACAGGCTTGAGCCACCGCGCCCGGCAATTTTTGTTTTTTGTAGAGATGGGCCTTCACCATGTTGGCCAGGCTGGTCTTGAAATCCTGGGCTCAAGCAATCTGCCTGCCTTGGCCTCCCAAAGTGTTGTGATTATAGGCACAAGCCACTATGCTCGGCCATTGCACAAGTTCTGGATAAGGAAGTTAATTAGTATCAGCCCTGTGCAATCAACCTATTGCCTCCATTGGGGTCAGACTTGGGTAGGTGCTTGAGAAGCGAAGTCGAGTGAGCCGTGCGCACTGCCCTGAGGAATGAATTCCTCTGGAGGCCGAGCTCTCTGAGGCTCCCTGTGCTTTCATCATGAAGTTTAGCCTGGGAACTGCTTTCAGAGATATCAACCTGGAGCACAGAGGGACCTGGGTCTCCTTTTCATCATGCTCTTCTGTGGCTCTCGCCACCCGCAGGATTAAGCGGGTTTCTTTGCATGTCTTTCATGAATGTGCCCTTGTCTACCTCTCCCAGATATTCAATTCCTTGACCCCGTTTAATGCTTGGATCCTAGTTCCCTGCACACACCATGCCATTGCCAACTTACATCTTTCTGTTCCTCCGAGATGACCTTCTCATCTTTGCTAGGCTGGCTAACTGCCATGGCTTGAGGGCCTTCCTGACCCCCACACTGAGTGTCTTCTCCTGTGTTATATTCTCTAAGCATTTTTAATATAACTCTATCATTATGTGGAAATAATCCAAACTAGTTTTTTGTGAGCCTGACACACAGTAGGTGCTTTATGAGTGTTGAACTGAGATGAATGCTTACACAGTGATTCTCAAACTTTATTCTACCTATGCACCATTCACACGCAAAACACACTCCCACACTTTATATCATGCATGACACATAGCGTTTCTTCATCCAGGGTAGTGGGTTTAGAATAGGTAGGGACGTCTTTCCAGGGGAATCAGGATATGAGTGGGAGGTAGGCTGGGACTAACAGAAATACTCTCCTCTTGCCACCTAGATTCTAATGTGTGTCTTGTTCTCAAGTCGAGAGCTGCTGAATTACTATAGGGCAGGTGGTGTGCTAGGCACTTTAAAAATTATCTCTAGAACGTTCACAACAGTCTTGCTAGGTGGTTATTATTATCCTCATTTTATGGATGATGAAACTGACGTTAAATGATTTGTGCAAAGCCACATAGCTGTTGTGATAGGTTTTTCTTGCAGTGCTATAAAGCAATACCGGACGCTGAGTAATCTGTAAGAAAGGAGGTATTACTGGCTCACAGTTCTGCAGGTTCTACAGGAAGCATAGCAGCATCTGCTTCTGGGGAGGCCTAAGGAAGCTTCCAATCGTGGTGGAGTGCAAAGTAGAAGCAGGCCTATCACATGGCAAAACAGGAGCGAGGGAGGGGGAGGTGCTAGACACTTTGAAGTGACCAGATCTCATGAGGATGAACTCACTCTTGTGAGGACAGCATCCAGGTTTTGGGGCTAAATCATTTATGAGAAATCCACTCCCATGAGTCAGTCACCTTCAACACGGGGGATTACAATCCAACATGAGATTTGGGCAGGGCACATATCCTAACTCACTTAGCTGATAAGTGACAGACGGATGCTTGGAGGCACTCTACTTTCTGATGTTGCCATGTCTGTTTCCCCCAGAAGAACTGGGTTTCCCTTAAAGGCACCGACGTGGTCTTAGTAATTTTTATATCCCCAGTACCTGACACAGAGCCTGGTGTCAGAAGGTCCCCGGTAAATGAGTGCCGAACTGAACAGAATCATTCTTGGTCATTTCCCTCTGCCACTTAGTTACAAATGTTAGGTATGACACATTTAGACCTGGTGTGGTGGTGCCTTCATTCCCAGAGCCTTCATGGGTCAAATAAGCAGGTCTGTCCAGACATATCATGCCAGCGCTGTTTTAATTGATCATTGCCTATGAAGAACCTCGTCAGATTCTAATATTACAGCCCCCCCCTCCCTATGTCAGGGTTGGATTGTACTTCTCCTTTCTAGATCCTCTGTTTTTGTCCTCTTCTGCCATTCTGTTTACACTGTCCCTTCTGTGGACATGGCCTTTTTCTAGTTTTCCTGGTAGAATTCTATCTGTATCACCTCTTGGACTCTTTCTATTGGCTGCTTTTGTTTCCTTCTTGTTACGTGTTGAGTAATTTTTTGAGATGGAGCTTCGCTCTTGTCGCCCAGGCTAGAGTGCAATGGCGCGATCTCGGCTCACTGCAACCTTTGCCTCTGATTTTCAAGTGATTCTCCTGCCTCAGCCTCCTGAATAGCTGGGATTACAGGCGCATGCCACCATACCTGGCTGATTTTTTATATTTTTGGTAGAGATGGGGTTTCACCATGTTGGCCAGGCTGGTCTTGAACTCCTGACCTCAGGTGACCCACCTGCCTCATCCTCCCAAAGTGTTGGGATTACAGGTGTGAGCCACCGCGCCTGGCTGAGTACTTTTTTATTACATGCTAAACATTATGGGTTTTATTGTCTTTGTTTAAAGAGCATTGCATTTGTTTTGGCAGGTGGTTAGTTTATTGGTGGGTTCGCTTGACATCATCCGCCCAGGTGGAAAGTGTGTCCTCTTTCCACCAGGTAGTCACAGTCCGTAGTAGTTAGATTTGGAAACATGTCTCTGGCCTTGCTAACATTTCAAACAGCAGCATGGAAACCAGCTCAGCGTCTCCTCTAATGCCCAAGCCCAGTTCATGTGACTGCCCCATAAATCCAGGAACATGGTACCTGTAACCCAGGCTGCACGCCCCGAGGGTGAGATAAATACACAGCTGTGCCCTGAAAAATCAGGGCGAGAGGCGGCTTGAGCACCTAGAATCTATCCTATTAGAATTTCTATGTCCCCCAACTTTGCTTTTCTACTCCCTTGTCACCTTCCTCCCCTTCATCCAGAAACACGCAGCCCGAGCCTCACATGTGTGATGGGGCAGCTATTCCAGAGCTCCGCTGCCACGGTTTTGTTTCATTCACCGCAGCACTGTGAGTTAGCTTGGGTCTCATTCTACCATCTTGCTATTTGTTCTAGATTTTCCCATCTATTCTTTGTTCCCTCTCCCCGACTCTCTTGTCTCTTTCTGAATTAATGATGTGCAAGTATTCTATTTCCTCTATTGACTTTTCATCTACAGCTCTATTTTCTTTCTTTCACTTCCTTAGCTGAGCAGAGTCTGACTTGAATTAGTGAGACTTTATTTTTGCTTTAAGCAGGCAATGTTGTTTAAAGCAATTAAAAAAGAAAAGAGTTCTATAGTAACACATAGATTTACCATTTCTGGCACCTTCCTTTGTGTATTATAGATCTGTTTCTATTTGGTATCATTTCCCTTTGGCTTGAGGAACTTCCTTTAATATTTTTTATTGTGCAGTTGTGCTGGTGATAAGTTATCTCAGCTTTTATTTATTTGAATGTGTTTTCATTTTGCCTTCATTTTTGAAGGATATTTCCATTGTATGTAGAATTGTAAGTTAGCAGTTTTTCTCTTTTAGAACTTCAAAGATGTTACTCTGTTATCTTCAGGATTGCAACATTTCTGATGTCAGTGATAATTCTCATTACTGCACCACTGTAGTCAGGTGGGATTTTTTTTTTGTCCCCTGAATTCTTTTAAGATCTTTTCTTCATCATTGTTTTACAGCAGTTAAGCTGTGATGTGCTTAAGTGTGGTTTTCTTTGTGTTTATCTTATTTAAGGTACATTGAGATTCTTGGATCAGTGAATTTGTATTTGTTTGTCACATTAGGAGGCCATTATTCTTTGAAATATTTC